GTGCAGGTGGAACTTGGCTACATCTGTAGGTCAGCTTTTTGACCCCTCCTTCTTTGTGTGGCCCACAAAGATTGGTAAACAATGTGGAGATGCATTAGAGCTGCAGCTCTATGGACAATTTGGGAAGAAAGAAATGCGAGGATTTTCCAAGAGAATGAGAGAAATATTCAGAATGTAAAGGACTGCATTTTGACCAGGACAATCCATTGGCTCAGATCCTTGGAATCCTTTAAAATATTCTCATTTGATGACATATGGAGGAATTGGAGAGTTGTGGCTAGTAGTAGTACAAGGAAGAGCAGGGTACCAACAGTATGGGTGCTGAGAGATAAAGACAGCAATATCTTAGCTTTATTCTCTGGCTCCGTGGGTATAGGAGACTCTATTAGAGCTGAGCTTCTAGCGGCGGTACCAGGTATTCAGATTGCAGATCAGTTAGGAGTTCAGAATTTGCTTACTGAAGGAGATTCCAAAGTTGTTGTGGGTTGGTTAAAGAATCCAGATTCAGTTATTTGGTGCTACAGTGACATTATGAGAAAAGTTAAGTGGTATTCAAGGAACATGATTGTCAATTCTCAGTGGGTGGGTAGAACAGCTAATGCCATAGCGGATGGGTTAGCTAAGCAAGGGGTATCAAGGGAACGTCTATTCTGGACAGCTCTGTAATCTTTTTTTCTGAGCTCAATGTAATACTTTGTTGTTGGTAAGGAGAGGTACCAGCTCGTGCCTCTTGTATCATCATCTTAATATGTCTGAATAAATTACCATTCATTTATCAAAAAAAAATTGTGAACATAACAGTATTGTCAATTGTCATCACTCTTTTCAATCAATAAGTACAATTTACAGTTTTTGATAAAAAATCATCACCATCAAGTCTTGTCTCAACTATTTGGGGTCATCTACATATGGATCCTGTTCTGCCATTATATTCTATACAGAGCTATATCCATTGTTAGACTATGGGCCCTTAAATCATTTCTCACTACTTTCACTCCCTATCCGTTTTGGTCTACCCCTATCTCTTGTAGCCCCTTCAACTTGTAAGAAATCACTTCTTATTGGCGCTGTAGATGGTCTTCTTTGCATGTGTCCAAACCATCTTGGGGGCTGTTTGATAACAGCTGAAGTTGCTGAACTGAAAGACTTATTGCTTTGTCTTTTAGTTGTTAAATTAATTAAATAATAAAATTCTCAAGGATATAGTGATCTACCTAACTTCAGCTTCAGCTATTAAAGAGACCACGACCTCCTTAAAATCTTATTTGCTAAAAGACAAAGCAATAAGCTTTTCAGTTCAGCATATTCAGCTGTTATCAAATGGCCCCTTAGTCTACTTTCCTTCATTTTATCACCTATCTACTTCTAGGTTGCTTCAAATAAGTTCATTTCTAATTCTATCTTTTAGTTTTCCCATTCACTTCTGGGCTGCCCAACAATTTACTCCATACAACATTGCTGGCCTTGTAACCATTTTATAAAATTTTCCTTTTAGCTAGAGTAGTATTCTCCTATCACATAAGGCTTTGGATTTACCCCTTTATTTTTCCCATCCTGCTCTAGTTCTATGTGCAACGTCCTCCTTAATCTTTCCCTTGTTGTGAATTATCAAGCCAAGGTAGCAAGAGGTTACATTGAGATATCTCTTGGTCTCCAATCCTAAGTTTGCCCTATTTTAATTCCTATTACTGTTAAATTTATATTGCCTTCTCATACATATCCTTAATTTAGTCGATATACCTATTTGCCACTCCTTTATTTACCAAAACTAACTATAATAGTCTAGGGCTTTACATATGCTTTCTCTAGATCAATGAATACCATATGGATGTCTCTTTTGTTCTTCTCTTTTTGGTAATGGTACTTTAATGATTATAGAAAAGAATGGGCAATATTTGCAAAGATGCCAAGCATCCCCATCATAGGCCACCTAAAGTCACCTGCCCCCTTTTCTTGATATCTGTCTTATTGTGTACAAGGTTTTTAAAACCGAACCAGACAACACACCGTTCAGGGGTCCGGTTCTCGGGTCGAATGGTCGGCCTGTTCTGACAAAAAAAACTAAAAAAATAAAAAAAAGGCCAAAAATTGTTGTCTGGGTCGACAGTTCGAATGGTTTGATCGCCTGGGTCAGTGGTTTGTTGACCAAATCAATGGTTTTTGGCCAAAATACAGTTCTGGGGTGAAATGGAACCGGTTCCCCGTTTTTCCAGTCTGGTCCGGTCCAGTTTTGAAAACATTGATTGTGTATCCAATTATAGCTGATAACTAGGTCCCTTGATAGCATTCTTAATTCTCTCATAATGCTTCTATACTACCATGGAACTACTCCCTTGTTTGTGGGCCATGTAATTGCCACTTTGGAATCATCTTTCCAAATCAAATTACTATAGTTAGAAGATCTTGTTAGTTGCAAACCTTTCTATAAATCATCTTAATAAAAAAATTGCTTCCCTGGTTGGTCTCCATGGCATAAAACTAAATTGGTTTTCTGATATGCCTGTTTCATATTGTAACCTTTGCTCAATTAGTCTCTCCCAAATATTCATACTATAACTCAGTGATTTAAAAGGTGTACAAGTAGAGCACATTTTAAGGCATGTGCCTTAAGGGGTGCTTGTATGGGCTTGCCTCAATTGGTACAAAGGTGGTTCATAGAATTAACAATGCAAGACGTTTAACATCACATTAGCTACTGGAAAAGAAATAGAGATTGAAAGTTTCACATACTTAAACTGTTGAGTGAATGAATGCTTGAATACGTTTTACATGTTATGTTTGTTTTTCTTTTTACATCTTCATTTTGAATATGTTTTATGTCATGCTTGTGCATCTTAATTTGATCTAATAGTCTTTTTAAAACATTTAGTTTAAAATTAAGTATGAATTTTTAATTAATAATATTTTTAATATTTTTTGATTTATTTGAAAATTTTGCAATTTATTGTATTATTTTGCACATTTTTTGAAAATTTTAAAAAATTTGCTCCTTGCTTCAAAAAGGTGTGCACCTTGCCTTATGCCTTGTACCTTGGGCGAAAAAGGCCTTTTTTTGCGCCTTGTGCTTTTAATCATTGGTATAGCTCATGAGATTAATCCCATGTCAACTATTGCAACTTTGTATATTATCATTGTTTTTATATATAAGAACCACAATACTCTTTTTTTTTTTTTTTAAATAACAGTATTTCGTTAAATAAAACCAAGCTACCCTCAAAAGGGTAATGGAATTCATAGTCCTCTTTCTCCATTCATTTGGCATATTCTTGTTTTTATTCTGTTATCAAATAGTTAGCTATAATAAGTCTACCTCTTCTATACCTTTCCAAACTTTTGTTGGGATATGTGAGGTCCTCATGTTTTTCCTTCGTTTATCATTTATAAATCCTCATTCACTTTAGAAATTCTAACTTTATGATGGTACATTTTAACTTTAGTAATATAAGAATTATTGCTCCCTTCCCTGCTCTATATATTCTTCGTCTAGTAATTTCTCAAAATAGCTTTCCATCTTTCTTTGATTTTCTCATCTTTTATGAAGACTCTTTGATCTTCCTCTTCAATGCATCTAACATGATTTACATATTTGCTTTTTTATCTCATATTTGTGAGTTTATAAATTACATTTCCTCCCTCTTTAGTGTCTACTTTATGATAGAGTTCTTGTATGCCTTAATTTAGCTTTAGTCAATTTTGTTTTAACTTACCTTTTTGTGTTTTTATATTTTCCAGGTTTTATACATTGTTATCCTTTTGCCAATCTTTATGAACATGTTTGTTTGCTTTGACTATGTTTTCAATTTCTTCATTCCACCACCAAGGTTGTTTGGTACTTTGCCATGATCCTTTAGACTCTTCTAAAACTCTTTTGCTACTTTTTTATACCATTAACCATTTCAAGTCGCATAGCAATATTTCCAATTAAAAAGAAAATTTTGGAATATGCTGTATTAGTATTATGTATGTATCATGTAGATGGTGTGCCAGTATACATTATAACCCACCTTGTTTTAGTGTTTTCCCATAATAATATTGACAGTTAAATTTAGTGCTTTAAATGTAAAATTTATTTAAAAAGAAGTAGCTATTTTGAACATGTGTAAGGGCTTTTATTAATGTTATAAAAGTATACAATATATATTTAAAAATCTATAGCAGCTTCATATACTTCACAAATACTTACCTTGGAGCAACCTGGTGTTGCTCCTCCAATCCCAAGATATCGGAAAGACTAGTCTAAGGGATATCCACCACATTCTGGGTACTGCCTGTTTACTCCATGAGGTGCAGAGTTCCATAGTATTGGCAGATTGAGGCAACCAAGAAAAACTGCTCCCAATCTGTGAGCTAGCTGTCTTGCCTCTCAAATCTGCTACCTGAATGGCCATGGTTCAACCATTTTGCCTTGCAGAGCAGCATGCAGTTATGCTCTTATTGAATTTCCGTCATTTACCAATCTTGAAAAAAACCAGCAGATAGTCTCCTTCCTACCCTCTGAAACACCACCTATACCTGAAGCCCTGGGATTCCCAAGACTGCATCCACCAAAGTAGTTAGTCTCAGGCCTTATGGAGCAGCATGCATTTCCTAAAGCCAGAAGTGAAACATGAAAATGCCAGATAGTTAGGTCCATTATCCAGTCCACCCTTCCCAAGGATCCCAGATAGCTAGGACCAACATCGAGTAGGTCCTTTATCTTTATATAGGGTTTATGTGTGTTTGAAAAAGCTTTGCTAATCAGGCAAAGTAGGGGACTTACCTACATGGCCCCACCTAATTCTGTCACATTGAGATAAAAGAAAAAAGCAGTATTTTTCTTGGGTTTATAGAACAACTTGGTAGTAAGACAGAACTCAGCTGTGTTCAATCTGGTCAGAACTCAGCAGATCTTTCTCTGCTTTTATGGTGATCATTAAAAGAGTTTACCATTATTAATTTGAATGATTCAATAGAATCTTTTCAAAGTATACCACTAATTTATTCTGTTTTTTCTTGTGAAGGTGCTATTGAGCTTTCAATATTAGCAGAATATTATGGAAGAGAAATTGCAGCATTTGACATCCAAACCACCCGATGTGATTTGTATGGTCAGGTCAGAATTAGCTACTTGCTTCAGTCTATGTTTCTAGTTCTCATAAGCTGTATCCTTATCATCTTTTGTGCATATTGGAACAGGAAATGAAGTATGCGGAGAGGGTTATGCTGATTTATGATGGGCTCCATTATGATGCCTTGGCTGTATGTTGCTTCTTTAGTTTCATATTCTGCTAATTATCTCTTAGAGGAACTCTAGTAAGAATAGGAAGAATCTTCTCTGCTTGTGTCTTGGACATGGCAAACTTGCATCAGTATTAGGGATTCACCATTTGATGGTTTCCATCTGGGATATTTCTTTAAACTCAAGCATTAATCTAATTGGCTGATTTTATTGATTGGTTTTTCTATAATAAAAATTAGCAAGCAAATTTCAAAAGATTTGATATGTCAAGTAGATTGTTACTTACATCTGATTTGGCCCATCTGTTACATAGTTCTCCTCTAGGGCCTATTTGGGAGGGCTTAACTTTGCTTTAGCTGCTTTGGCTCAGCCATTTTGAAGAAGCTACTGGAAGAGGCTTGTGTGGAAAGCTGTCTAAATGACTGCATGGTGACCAAATTTAGCACTCTGGATTTTTTACCACACTTTTTTTCTGGGTGAGCCCTACCTCAAAATGCCAATAGCCAGTGTGAAAGCCATTCCGAACAGGCTCTTGGTGGGAATCATCACATGGTGATTCTCAGCCACATATGATGTTTGGTTGTTTACAGAAGGACCTGGAGTTAAAATTTTTCCCTGCTTTTCTTCCTTATTCTACACCAATAATCTCTTCATTATATCCTGCATGTGGCTATTTCAAACTTCTCTTTCTCTGTCTTTCTCTAAAGAATGCAAATATTTGTTTTGATAATAAGTGAAAGAAACTTTTATCTAAGATGAAAAAGAGATATGGCTGGTTAAAGGTGATGAGATGACATCTCACAATAAGCTACTAGCAAATCCCCTAAGAGAACCGAAATGAAATACATCCACAACTGCACAAGGAAGAACAGGCATCACCTAAAAACATAGCTAAAATATTCCAAGAACAGACTATCCAGATCAAGGGTAGACTAGAAATTAGATCTTAAATGCTCTTTAGAAGCCTCTGCAAATTCCAGCAAAACTAAAATCTAGTCCACAGTTATACTGCCAATGTCGGTACAAATCCTTTTATCCTCTTTTCTCTTTGCATTAAATGAACTTTTTCTATCTTTTCAAATTTCTCAACAAATAGCAAAAGAAATGCTACTCCAAAAAATTTTTGCTTCTTACTTCCATTCAAATTGGCCTATTATAAAAAATCCCTTAGGGCTGTTCGGTTGAATCAGTTGAACCTTGAATAATAAGAAGATATCCCAAATGAAGGCTTCCATATGGATGAACAAGTTCCTAACATCCTCTTCATAACATGTAGCATAAACCGGTTATCTTGCAGCTTCTCTTCTTCAATTAAGAATATTATCCAATGCTACCGCTGGCCATGCAAATTCTTCCATCCTTAGGGGAGTAGGATTTCTCTAAAATTCTTAAGTCTTTAACATCCAAATATATTTAGATACCTTATACCTTAAAAGGTGGTGGGATGAAGCAATTAATTATATTCTGGTTTCTTGAGAATGGTTTTTCCATTCCATTTCCCTCCTAAACTTTGTATACAATTTTATCCTTAATGAAGAAAGTACATTAAATTCTTTTTCCGTTTGTTTTTAGCCGAACTGTAATGGAATGTCCCAAAGTTTTGTATTGCATTTTTCCATTCCATTTCCCTCCTAAACTTTGTATACAATTTTGTCCTTGATGAAGAGAGTACATTAAATTCTTTTTCCATTTGCTTTTAGTTGAACTGTAATTGATTTTCCTAATGTTTTGTATTACAATTTACCATAATGTTCTTAAATTCTATTATTTTGTGACATCTATCCCTCCTCACTCTCTTCTGTTTTTTGTAACCTTTTTGTTTACTTTCTATTAGTGGACATTTTTGACTTAATGGATCATTTTCAAGAAAAAAGGTTATAGGCCCTTTTAGTGACACCTAGCCTGCATATTATGTATTAACAGATGTCTCCTTTTAATGGAGCTCCAGAGGAGTTCGACCAAACAATATTTACCGTGCAGAGGGATAGGACCATTGGTCCAATTGAGGAGCTTGCACTTGATTTTGTTAAGGATCAGCAAAGGTAACCTCCTGTTCTTTGACGTCTCATTTGTTTATTGGAGTGGATCTTCATAGTTCATACAACCCATCATTGAAGTTTTATGGGAATCTTCATAGTTCATAGTTCATAGTTCATACAGTCCATCATTGAAGTTGCACCACTAGGTGGAGATGTTTTTAGTGACAAGAGTAGGCTTGTTTATTTAGCCCATCCAGTCCATCATTGAAGATCTCTGTATATATTAAAAAGGGAAGCATCTCAGTAAGGACCAGTCACCAGTTAAGAGAAGGAAATGAAGTTGCAAATCTTATAGCAAATAGATACAGAGAAGTGAGAAGAGACCTTGAGATCAATTACGCAAAGCTGCCCAGGCCTTAATCAATGTATTTTAGATCCTAGAGGACCTATGGGGTTATGCTACTTTTTTGCTTAATTTATGCCTTTTCCTTGTATTGCCCAAAAAAGCCCATTTAAGTTTTTTAGTTGGGCCACTTAAGCGTGGTCTGATTCTTGATTTGAATTAAGCACAATTGTTTAGCACAAGATAGATACATCAATACTTACAGTAGTGGTGTGGTGTTCCAATCTGTAGTATACTCACAAGATCACCAAGGTCTTATATGCCCAATGTTGGTCCCAGCTATCTGTCTTGGGAGGGGTAGACTGAATACTGTCCTAACCATTTGGCAATTTTTTTTGGTATAAAATAGCTGCTCTCAGATAGTTTTGCAGGAAAAATGCCCAAGTGTTCTTTATATGATAAATAATTAGCTACTTTCCTAGTTAGTTTTGCAGGAAAAAAATAACTTCCATTCAGAAGAGAGCTTTTGGAATCAAGAACATCAACTTTTATTAATTGAAAATTACTTTTTCCAATAAAAAAATCCTGTTAAGTAAGTCCAAACCAATTTGTTAGGCAACCAAGAAGGCCTTCAGGATTTTTCTTGAGAAAATTTTAAAAATTTCTCTCATTCTCTCTCACTTTAAGGACAACAAAATATAAACATAAGGTGTTGGACACCATGAGATCATATCATATGGCAACCTAAGATTTGAAGAATGTTGTGAACCAATTGATCCCCTTATAATCGGAACAAGGATTGGATGATGCTGATGGTAATGATGATGTGTGCCAATTGATAATCAACTTCAATTACCTCATGAATAATGTTGATTTGACTTCATGTTTGCTCATCAGGAAGAGGAGTTACACAGACACAGCTAACTTCACATTGCGTTGTGGGGTGTGTCAAATTGGTGTCATTGGCCAGAAGGTTGTCTCTCTCTCTCTCTCTCACACACACACAAACAAGCACGCACTCCCCCCCCCCCCCCCCCCCCCCCCCCCGAATTTCTTCTCTGATCTTGTCATCAAATGTTTATACTTCCATATTGAAATATGTAGGAAGCTATTGAACATGCAAAGGCAACTGGACATGCTAACTTTCAAGAGTATAGATAGAAGGGAGCAGAGAGGGAAGAAGAAAAGGAAAATGGAAAATCAATCTTAGTGAGCTTCTCTACATATTTATTTGATTGATTTTTGTGAGGCTCATTCTAACACATCTCATTGGGTTGGAAATAATAAGGTAGTTTAATTTATGTGGGAACTGTTGTAGAATGATTTGTATGCTTTATATTGTTAAGCAAATAGAAGAATTTTCTGGTTATGTTTAAGGATTTATTTTGGAGTAAAAGTTTACAATAGAGATAGGTAAGTATGTAAGTTTACTAGCAACGATTTTCTGATGTACTGTCACTGATGGTTGATCTCAGCATATGGTTAGGTTTCTGACTTTCTGTTCTTCCTCTGCCCTCTTTGAGGAGCCATTTCTTCAGGCCAATTGTATTTCTAGTACATATGTTACTACTTTTACCTGTCTGTTTGGTCTTCTCTCTCTTCTAGAGCCTTCCATTTGCACCACTGGATCATTCATTATGAAGTCATTGATTTTCTTTGCCAGAACATTGCTGTATGATGGGTCTGGGCTTTCTTTCCCCCATTTCTGCTTCAGCAAGAGCTTCAAGGATATTCTGGTTCATATTTTTCGTAAATAAATAAGAATTACAAAGAGTAGGCGTCTTGGATTTGGAGGCCAAACAATATTCAAAAGTTTGCCTACCTTAGAAATGAGCATGTTCAGATGATTTAATCACATCATATAACATTCCTATCCTTTCAAGGCTTCAGGCTGATTGGTTGATCTCTTTAATATGATACCTGTTTGATGGTGGTCCTGCCCTTAAATTTATGTGGAGGCAATTATTGAATTCCCAAGTCTCAGAAGTCAGAACCAAGATATTTCTATCATGAATGGAGAAAAAGTTGGATTAATCTGATTTAGAAAACTAGTGTTTATAAGATTTAAGAATGAAATGCATTCGTGATTCGTCTAGCCAGCACTTGCTTTAATGGATTAGGTTCTCAAGTACCAAAAAAAATGGATTAGGTTCTGCCGGTTAGACTAAGATTGATGTCTTCCATAAAGAATGGGATTTGGCTAGGTAGGCAGAGCAGCACCCCTCCTCCTCCCCCAAGAAATAAAAAAAAGGCCAGTAGATGCTCTCACCAACTTCCTGTAAAGATCATCAAGAAAAGTGATTACTGATTACCGACTTCATAGTTTCGAGTCGTAACAAAAAGCGAGATGGAACATAGAAGGCTTGACAACAACCACCTGAAAGATTCTTCTTCATATATAACCCGGATCTCCTCCCAATGTTCCACCAGCATCCGTAATCAGGATTAGTTTGGGATTTACCAATAGAAAATATTGAGCTTCAATCGAAATTCTGGTCATGCAATTGCATGAAAATGTAAAGCCTCCCAAAGTCCCACCCCCTCTGCTGTAGTAGCAGGTTAATTACAGAGATGACATCATCGTTCCCACAATAAATTATTAAAGGTCAAATATCTTCAATAAGTTGCTCAAAACTTACCAAAACCCAGGCTGGAGGAGAGTCACAAGGGCAATCTATACTCACAAGAGAAGAGGTGGTGGTCCAGCTCCAGAAACAGAAAACAGTATTCCGAATCAAACAGTTTCCAATTTGGGCTACTGGGGTCAGTTTTTTCCTTTACAGATTCCAGTAATTAGCTATCACGTGGAGAACCAAACTTTTCTAGAATAGTTGTGACTTGTGAAGTAACATCACATTTCAGTAAGGTGATAGAATTATTATCGGTCTAACTGTTAGTTGTTAGAACGCGCCACTTTTGTGGGTCCAATCCAACAGGGGAAAAATAAATAACAATGGAATGGGTATTTGATCTCTCTCTCTGTAGATGGCCATGGCCGACTTGCTATGAATTTGGTCTGGTTACCCTATCAATTTTTGAATTGGGTTTTGTCGGTTTCTTGACCCTTCTGGGTTTGTTTTTTATCACCTTGTCCTTGTGAGTTTGAAAGAAATGACAGGGTGAAGGTTAGACATTATTGTAGGCAGATAGAGGGCTCTCTTGTTGGTGGTGGGCTTTTAACAGGTTGAAACTTGAGAGAGAGGTGTTAGTCTTTTCCTTTCATGGCTATGCATTTCTTGGGCCATTGAAATAAATAACTTGTTGGTTAGGGTCTTGCATTTTGGCAACCAGATTATAGAAGTGGGCTATTGGGGCCATTTCATTTATCTGAACAAATGAGTTTGAAACTCATCTGTCTCTGTTTGTCTTCCTTAACAACAACTAGAAATGACTTGACTTTATATTAAATATTATGGGTTCGAATGGCTAAAAGAAAAATCCAGAAAATGCTTCCATTTTCACGTGGCATCCAAACAATGAGCAAAGAGCAATGGATTTAGATGATGATTTTATTCCATTAGGTAAGCTTCACTTGGTACTTGATAGAATGAGTCCTACTCCACAAGTAAGCATGAAAGATTACAGATAATATTCATCATGCATATGCTCTGTAGACTACTTTTGAAAGCTGTGGAGAATCTTTCTTGCGGTCTGAATGAATGGATGCATGAAAGGCCCACCATTTAATCATCTGATCAAGCTTGTGTTAGCAGTCTCTTGACTGAGACTGGTCTTGATGGTGGGTCCTGATAGTCTGATACTATGTACATGAGAAAAGCTGTTGCCACTTGCCAAGGGGACTTCATTATAACTATTACAAAATTTACAATGTGGGTCCTTTGATCAGGACCTTGTCTCAATTTTCTTTTTCCCCCAAGGCTGCTTTTTGTTTCAAAAAAAAAAACAGATGATAATATTTCTCAGGTTAAAATAAAACATTTGAGCCATGTTTTCTCCATTTTTTACAATGAAAATTTTCTTTGCATCAAAAGAAATTAAAAGGGAAGGAAAACAAACTTTCAACCAATTAACCTAAATGGATTTTGAGGAGACTTCTCAAGTTGGGTTTTGTTTCAATCACATGCTTTTCTTGAAAGGAGACTAGGTTTAGGTTCACTGTTTACAGTAATTTTTGTTTGTCCATTGATTGAACTAAAGGCCCCAGGTATATGTCAAGAGTAAAATAAAAAGTTAAACTCATGACCTTGTTTTATTAGATTCCATGATTTGAATTCATAAATTTAATGAAAAGAAGGGAAGAAGCATATGAACAAGTGGATGAACGATCATAGTGGGGGTGACAAGGATGGAAGTGGGGCCATCTAAATATCCAACGCATTTATTTAGTAATAAAAGAAAACCAAAAAAAAGCAATGGTTCATATGTGTCGACCTCTTAGTGGGACAAAAAGCCACATCCCTTTACCGAAAAAGGAAAACAAGAAACCAAGAGGCATCCCCTCCACCATCCATACCTATCCACCCTTGTCCATGTTGTTTCCATCTATCACCTTCTTTGAAAAGCAAAGTCCATCCCTCTCTCGTGGGGGGGTGGGACCCCTTCTTCCTTTGTCCACTACCTTTATTCCCATCCCCACTCAGTTTTTTTTTTTTTTTTCCTCCCCCCAATTCACTGAATGAATGCACCAAACTCTCAGTACCTTTGGATTGATAGCAACTAGAAATAGATAGGTGGAGGAGAAGGCAGTGGTGGTGGTGGTGGAATCGCTTATTTATTTGCTCAATCAAGAAAGACATATCAGAAATGTAAGAAAGAGACTGGTCTTTGCTAATGTTTCATTGGGACTACAATTACTAAAATAGCACCGACTGATCGAGATTAACTGATTAACTACAATTTCCAACCAGAGACAGAGGAGGAGGAGGAGGAGGAGAGTCCCAAAGTGTGAACTGCAACGAAGAACAACAGACCCATCAAATTGAAATTTTGATTAGGCTCAATCGCTGTAGAGCAACTCTTTCATCGCCCAACAAAAAAAAAATATGTATCTAAATATTATAGCCTCTTAACATGGGAAAAATTTTCCATTTTCAACGGAACGGACTCAAGAAGAAGAAGAAGAACTAGAACTAGTTTTAACCATCAAACCCGGTCTGACTCCACACCGCGTCCCTAACCCGGCTCATGTCCCGTCCCTTGAGCGTTCGACCTACTCCCTCGAAAACCGAAGTGGCCGTCATCTTCCGGGTCCGAGCATACTCCCGTGCCAAATACTCGTGCGGTGGTATCCACTCCGCGTCGTGATCCTCTATCCCGTCATCGGAGTCCTGCAGCGATTCCACTGAGTCGACGCGTAGGATCTTCGGCCAGTCTGGAACGTTCACCGGTGCTGACGCAGCCATGTGGTGCCCACGAGGGGCTGCCACGTTGTCCTGGGGACGGAATTGGTGCACGATCCTGGACGATGGGGTTGTCTTCCCCGCATCATTGAACGCCAATGATAAGCCACCGACGTGGCGGTCTTCCCTGGCGACCCACCGCCGTGATCGAATCCCACGGTCTCCGTTACTCTCCGGCGCCATGGAGGCCCACTCACTGGGTGCTACGTTCCTGGTGTGATCGTCTCGATCCACCATGTCGTCAACCATCGACCACACATCTTCTTCGCCGAGTTCCGATGCATCCGTGCCGTTCTGTTGGCCTGCACCGTAACTCAAGGTCCCCAGCAGACGTTCGTGATGGCTGGAGCCGAGTTTCCGGCCCTTTGCCATTCTCTTCTCCTTCCCGGTCGCCTCCTACAGCATCGTTAGATTCTGCGGCGACTTCCAATTGATGTTCTCCGACCACCAACGTCGGAATTACATATATATGTCAGAAAACAAGTATCCTATAAATGCTATATACAGAGTCCAAGCTTTAAACCTCCCACATGTATATATAGTATTCAGCATCACAGTTCACATGACCCTCGGCCTCATTTCATTTTAATTTCGGTTTCATTTCGTCTACATTTCATGAGAGCACCGATGCAATCAGGATGGAGGAGAGGAGAGAGTGAGAGGGAACTGTAAAAAATCGAAAACCAAGAAAAAAATAAGTTTCAACGTATAGTAAATAGCCACGTCAGATATAAATCCTCCCAATCCCATGCCACGTGGGCCCCCAACAGAAATCGCCACTTCTTTGACCCATCAAATACATCCAAAATGCGGTCCAGTGTCCACGTGGGTACTTGAGGCTAGAGCTCCCACCTACTCAGGAGCATCGGTCCCACCAGCTTAGCCCTTATTGGTGCCACGTGGGAGTACAATGACCGGTCGTTGTAGACATAAAGTCCAGGAGGTTGTGGCTAACAATAGTGACACTAATTAAGCTTTTGATGAGAAAGAGTCTAAAAGATGGTCAGAGGAGTATGGTATAAATATAATGAATAAAGTATGTTAGCTGGATGAATTAACTTGATAAAATAACTCCGAATTGGGTGGAGGCGTGGAGGGAGGGATCAGGGGAGAGATGTTTAGAAATTATTGTTATTATTTTAGAATTAGAAAAGCTGGGTGGAGACTGGAGAGGGTTGTGGACTTGTGGTGGTGAAGAGTGATTGGG